TCCACCCTAAGCCCCTCCCTGACCTATTGCCGAAATGTAACTCTTGAGATCCTTGGAAAGGTCCTGCACTGGAGACAGACTTGGTTGTGTGCTCAATGTGCCATTTGTGAGGGAAAATTCTGAAATGCATATTCTTAAGCCTGTCACTGGAAAATAGAGACAAAAAATTGTGGCTGTGTGAATAAACGGCACTCCCAGCCGCAACACTGAAGACGTTCCCATCCCTGTTCCTTTTATGTGACATCTTACTAGCTCTGAGTTTCTAAGCAGAAGCAGACAGCAGATAACTAGATCAGGATTTAGACTGGTGGGTGTGACAAGTGAAGAGAAGGATTTATCAATCTAACCCAAAGAGGAGACAGCCGTCTGGAATCCTCCTTTACAAGCAAGTCACTTATGTATACGTCCCAAAAAGCAAAAGTACGCATTTGTAAATGAAAACTTTCCCCAATAAATCTTTTGTGGGGCTTTACAAACCTTCTGATCGGATTTGTAACTCTAGACGACGGTCTGTATATTTGCCTCAAGATTTGAGGGATTTAAAAACCCATCTCTTGACTCATGAAACAATTCAGTGTTTTAGAAACCAGGTAGCTAAACCCAACTAAGACTAAAAGCATACAGCACTTGGCTCTAGGAGGTTTACTGACAGGGTCTTATACACTGGAATGAAGAGATAATGTATGTAACCCAGGTGTACTAAATCCTGATTTTATTAATAAACTCTAGTGTAATAGCTTTAAAATAACCTCTAGGACATTTTAAATGCCTCAAACGCTAAATGTTTCTCAGGTGTTTCTCCAGATTGTAAAACGAAGAAGGCTGAAAAGAGGTGCCATTTCATATTTTTATGTTGGAGAAGGTAAATATTTCAATGAGGAGGGGGAAAAGGAAAACAAAAGGAACCAGTGCATCCAACAGATCTGATTATGTAAGGAGAAACGACAGTCTCTGGATATAAGAAAGTATATAACACCCTGTTTCAATTTAAAATTGCCAAAATTGCTTTAGCCTGAATGTAAGGCCTTCTTGAAGGGCTGTACAAATAAAACAAGAGTAAAACAAAAAAGGAGATAACGTATTAACATCTTTACATCCTTACACTTTTACATTACAATGTGTATACCTAAATCTTTGATGAACACTCACAAAGAGAATACTCGTCCAGCACATTATTAATCACATTTAATTGACAAATGCAGCCATTATATTCAAACATACCATTTGTTTCTTCCCTTCTTGAAAATTTTCTTTTGGTCTGTCTGTACCCAGATCCGATAGTTTGCTCATGGCACAATGTGAGAAAGGTCCCCCATTTATCTTATCCCAGGTCTTGTTCAGGGTTACTCTGATTAATCCATAGACTCCTGGCCTGCAAAGCCTGGGAAGTGTATACAGGAAGTGGTACTTCTAAAGACGAGGGAGAAAAATTGAATTCTTCATTTAAACCTTTGGGAGGCAATGTACCCAGTCCCAGTATCCAGTCGATTTCACTTTTCAAAAGAGCCTTGCCATTGCTTTGGAGGGCAGCTTCTATAGCCCAAAATTATAAATCCTATACAGAATAACCATTTTTCATGAAAGGACTGACAAAGGGGTTCCTGGCCTTTTATTTCTAATGTTGTCAAGATATATATGAGCTCTAAACGTACTTTACGGATCTTAGATGTTTTTCCTATTTAAAGCTTGTTACAAGAGCATAGATTATCCAGCTGGTGTTGCAAGCAGTAACATTTCTCAAGTTATACCTCTTGCTGCTATGGAGATCCACAAACTCAGTCATTGTACATAGGTAAAGGTAAAGGTTCCCCTTGACATGTAGTCTAGTCGTGTCTGACTCTAGGGCGTGGTGCTTATCCCCGTCTCCAAGCCGTAGAGCCAGTATTTGTCCGAAGACAGTGTCCGTGGTCACGTGGCCAGCACGACTAGACATGGCACACCATTACCTTCCCACCGTGGTGGTACCTATTTATCTACTCACATTTTTACACGCTTTCAAACTGCTAAGTTGGTAGGAGCTGGGACAAGCAATGGGAGCTCACTCCATCACGTGGATTTGATCTTACAACTGCTGGTCTTCTGACCTTGCAGCACAGAGGCTTCTGTGGTTTAACCTGCAGTGCCACCACGTCCCTACAATTGTACATATATATTGGTAATAAATGAAATGTCCACAAGGGTGGTGAATGATGCTCATGTGGTGTGTTGTTCCTATCAATATGTCAGGGAGTCACTTTGTCCTTCCCTGAATTCACTTCTGATCAAGATATTCCCGGTGTTTTGTGTTCTTTTAACAGAAGTCACAGGTCTCTCTTGGCAATCACCTATATTATTTAAAATGTACCAATATTTCTTGATGCTGCCTTGCAATTTGTCAGTAATGTGATCAAAAGTAAAAAAAAAAAATCAGCTTGCTTCACAGGTTTGTTCTTATGCTTTAAAAAGAGATCAGTACTATGAATGGTCTTGGTGAAGCTGGTCAAGGTAGCCTTTATTTTTTAACCAGCTTCTTAGTAGCTTTGATTCTCACAAGAGCAGCAATAGCAACAATCCTGCTGGGTGCAGTTCCTTTTAATTCTTAGAAACTAACTATATGGCAAATTACATCTTAATGATCTAGGATGAGAGCTGTCAAATATACAGTACGTGTAATTTGCTTCCTTTTTAAAGAGTTAGATCTAAAAATATATATCTTTGTGCTTATGCTGGTAGCGAGTATCAAACTGGATGTTCATATTTATGGAGCAGGGAGGGAGAAGATTCTGGTGCAAGGTTCAGAGCTACGCTGGAATGTTTAAAGCTAACACTTGAAATTAAATTGCCACCACAATTGAGTACTACATTTTAAGCATATGTTTTCACATGCTGCCTTATTTGCCAGACTGTTTGTCTATCAAAGTGCAGTATTGCCTTCTTTAGTTGTGGGTTTCCCAGATTTGTGGGCAGAGGTCTTTCCCATCACGTATGATCGGATTCTTTTAACTTGTGAACTTCTGAATGCTAAGTAGGCCTTCACTGTGATGCCCAGAGCTTGAGAAAGCATGTCCCAATCACTGTGGCCATTAATACTGCTGCTGGCTGTGAGACTTAGGAAGGAGAAGTCCAAAAATAATTTTTCTAGGAGCTGATAACAGCACTGAGCAATTAGGGTTGTGATAGTTCACTTACTCATTCATTTCATTTGTTAACCTCAGAATGCCTTCCAGCATTATTTCAAAAGCAAAGAAGAATTTACAATTGCATCTTAAGTCAAGGGGAGCTATAATTTGTCTCTCTTTTGCAAAAGAAAATATATAATTACTTAAAATGATTTCTTTACTTGTGTCCAACAACGCTAATTTAACCCCTTTTTCCTCTACCCCCTTTATGCATTGCTATTTTTAGTTTAGATAAGTGATGGGACTAAAATAGATCTAAGCTCTGTCAGGAGATTTTAAAAAACCCAAAACAAATAACTCAAAACACTCTTAAAGGCTGGTGATGGATTATAATAATGCTGTTGGGAAGGGACTGTTTAATGCATTCTTTGTACTGATTCTCTGATAGAACCCATCTCAAGTTGGTGTTCAGAAATTAGGATAGTTGCATGTTTTCTCAGTGGGGCTAATAGCAATAGTGGGAATCAACAGCATTGTCCATTGGCAAACTGGTAATTAAAAATAGCTTTTAGAAACCTTTCACCAGTGCCACTGGGTCTGATTAAAATCAGAATTGAGGGCTGGTGGTTTTATAGTTAAAAGGGAAATAGGTGGGAAATGGTCACAAATCTCCTACATACATCACATCTGTCTTGAGTCTTGGAAACAATAGAAATGAAGAAAAGTGAGTATTTTAATATCACTAGCAACATGTGAAGCTGTCAACTGCAGCTTCTTATTTTCATGATGCTAATTTTATTTCAACCCAAGTTAGGTGGCAATAAAGTAATATACAATTTTGAGTGCATTTCTTTTACCCCATACAATTTTTGGGGTATGCAATTGTTCCTTACATACAATTTTTTTTTGCAAACCATTTCCCCTAAATATTTCACAATGTTACTTTTCTGTAATAATTTTGTATTCATTCCCCCCAACGTATTCATTTTTGTGAACTGTTTAAACAGCAAAACTGCACTGCAAATGGAGAGATGCAAATACCAAAGTATGATTATGTTGACATATTGTTTCAGAAAGTATTAATTAGGTTGAAACAAACAAATTCTTTCCCGTATTACATGTATTGCAGACAAGTTATGCAGGCTATATCTCTGTAGTAAGTTTAGGAAAGCCCAATTTAACTTTTGCTACTAAGAGAAAAAATGTGGAATTTGTTTTTTTTTTCCTGCCTCTCAAAGTATCATAGGCATATCACTAAGAAGGAACAGCCAAATAGTGAAACTGGGACATGTTTACAGGGAGATTGTGGTTGTGGCAATTAGTTAAACTATACTGTTAAGCCAGTAGAAAAACTGTATAGTATATGTTTATTTTTTCTCAGAAATAGCTTTCAGGAAAAACAACAACACACCAACAACATTGCGTAGCATTTTTTTTTCTAAAAAGGTGCAACTCACTGAACCTTCCGATCAGTGATTAGTGCCGTTAAACTGAATTATTGTGAATTAATGTTCAACTTTTCCTTACAATGTTTTGTTTTGCTTTATCTGTATGTGTACTCTGGCAAGTTCCAATTAATCTGAATGGCACTTGATGCAGAAAAATGCCGTATTTGAGGTTACAATAGTTTCACTTCTTGTATTGCCATTGCTGTTTTGTCTCTGGAAAGACTGATGAACCTGATATCTCAGAACCAGGCCCAATTAACTTAATTAGAATAATCTGTTGCTGTCTCCTTTGTTTGACAGCCACAGGTGCATCTAGGATAGCAGAAATCAAGACATTAAAAAGCATACAATATTTCTGTGTAATTGATAACATTTTTACAAAGTGAAACATAGCTCCCGGATTTGTTATTTTGTTTTAAGATTATTTCTTATCCAAACTATCTTTGCTTTTCAGGACTTTGTGAAGTCACTTGCTAATGCTGTTTTACAGATGAAGAATATAAGGTGAGAGATGAAACAATTATGTTCCCAAGGACCTTGATTAGGGCTAGAGTAGATGAGATACTGAATGTGTTATTGACCCAGATGTGTTGCAGACATGCGGCCCTTGATTCAGAGTGGGACCATGGCAGGAACAAACAGGTAAAACAGAGACAAGGAAGATTTATTTTGTGGACAATGTTGGCTGTGCTCTAAACCAGAAAAGTAATGTTTCCCATATATGGCCTAAGTATAGTAGGTATACACTCCTTAGTAGAGGAAAAGACAAATATGTAAAAGCCAATCATGTCATTTATATCATACCTGACATGTTCCCATGCCACATAGTTGAGCCAAAGTAAAACAGATGATTAAAAAAAACTGTTGATAAAAAGTGGAAAAGCAAAGAATTGGTCAATTTTCAACCATGAATTCTATGTCGTCGTTGTCGTCGTTTAGTCGTGTCCAACTCTTCGTGACCCCCTGGACCAGAGCACGCCAGGCCCTCCTATCTTCTACTGCCTCCCGGAGTTGTGTCAAATTCATGTTGATTGCTTCACAGACACTGTCCAGCCATCTCATCCTCGGTCGTCCCCTTCTCCTCTTGCCATCACACCTTCCCAGCATCAGGGTCTTTTCCAGGGAGTCTTTTCTTCTCATGAGAAGGCCAAAGTACTGGAGCCTCAGCTTCAGGATCTGTCCTTCCAGTGAGCACTCAGGGTTGATTTCGTTTAGAATTGATAGGTTTGTTCTCCTAGCAGTCCAGGGAACTCTCAAGAACCTCCTCCAGTACCACAATTCGAAGGCATCAATTCTTTGGCGGTCTGCTTTCTTTATGGTCCAGCTCTCACTTCCATACATCACGACAGGAAAAACCATAGCTTTGACTATTCGGACTTTTGTTGGCAAGGTGATGTCTCTGCTTTTTAAGATGCTGTCAAGAATTCTAGTCATGAATTCTATGACCTGCAGTAAAATTCTGTGCAGTAAATTGGTCTTGTTAAGGGTTTCAGGTGGTTACCATATCCTCTTCCAGAAAGATTCAATTTCTTCCTTGGATGTTCATTCCTCCCCCACAATAAAGATACTAAACATATTAAGTCATCATGGGAATGTTTTTGTTTGTGCATATGATTCTCTTGTCCCCTAGTTTTCTCTCCTGAAAACGCTATCTACTTTCGTAAATCCTGGTTTTCCCTGAAATATATTTATATCCTGAACTTGGAATGTCATTTCTTGAAAGGAGCTTGCTCCCATTACTTTTGACCTGTTGTTGTTACTCATTGTGCTCCTTGTTACTTTTCCTGAGGGGAAAAATCCAAGGAGTGATAAAAGAAGATGATAAAGGTAGAGTGGTCCTAGCCGCCTAGAGTGGTCCTGACCTGACCAGATAGGTGGGATAAAAATAAAAGAAAATAAATAAATAAATAAGTAGGAAATATAGTACCAAAATGCTTCTAAACTACAGTAAAGTGTCCTTTAATGTCTAGGAGTAAGGGGGAAAATGTTGTTAATCCAGGTAAGTATCTTTGGTCCTACTTATTTTGCTACTTCTAATCAGTAATTTTCCCTATATCTCATTATGACAGCTGGAAAATATTACCAGCTGCGAAGTAGCCCAACAAGTAACATTTCCAGGCTGCACTCATTACATTAAAAATGTAACTGTTTACAGGTAAATATGTCAGTCATAGCTTGCTTCTTTCAAGTTCTGCTAATATCTCCAATGTGTTCTCAGTTCCTCATAAGTAACAACCTGAGTCCTCTACCTGGCTTCTCCAATTTGGTACCCCCATAGTAATGTTGAACTACAACATCCATTATAATGAGTATGGGATTTGTAGTTCAATGTAATTATATGATAGGATTTGTAGTTCAGTGCAATGATATCATGACCAGGTTAAGATTTCTCTTTTTAGTGAAACTTAAATATATGTCCAGGCTTTCTAGGTTTTCTAGCTTGGCTTCCATAATCTTTTCATGGTGTAGGGCAATGTTTAGCAACAGAGTAATGTATGACACAAAAAGCCCATGTAATTTTAAATTTTATATGAGCTTTAATTAGGCAACATTTATATAAAAGCTTTTGCTGTGTCAATTAGTTGATTGACTGTCGTCTGCTTTCTGGGTTAGTGAAACTTGATCTTCTGTGAATGAATTTGTTTATTGGGTTGGGGGTGGGAAGGGACCAGGGAATGGAAAAAAGATTGAATTAAATGTTGTATGCTGAGTGACAAGCTACATTTGATAGGGCTTTTAGTTTAATTACTTGTATGTAATTAAGATATTTATTCGTCAAGAAAGTTCATATTAGTGAGATCTTGGAGAGAACCTTGTTTGTTCATGACTTTTAGATACATTTATAATATTTTTAAAAACTAGAGCACTCTGTTTAATTTAAAATTGTAATTTATTTTCTAATCTCCAGAAACCATTACACGATGGGCCACAACCAATGACTTCTATCTTATGAGAAGCAAATACTTGATATTGTGTAGCTGGCATATTTTTATTCTTTGTTAACCACAAGAGAGCTCATGGAGGGAAATATGTTATCAACATTTATTAACAAAATGTATTGTTCAGTATCCATAACCAGTGTCTAAACAGCTTGATAAGTATGCCTGTTGATTCAGATAATACACCCCCAGCTCAAAGTCCTGGGAGCCATTCAGACGTTTGGATGTTTTATTTCATAGGGTAATACTCTAGGTTTTGTAAAATGCTCCATGTATCAAAAAACAATTATTTTCCTCTACTAAAAATTTGTAAGGACCATGGGCTACAATTTTGAACTACCTGCATTCATACAAATGAGAGGATCACAACTCTAAAACAAGGTGCACCCTCCCACACACCTTGTTTTCAAGCAGTTGTTACCAGCCTTGTGCCCCTAGATGTTCTTGGACTAAAATTCCCAAAAGCCTTACCACCTAGCTGTGCTGGCCAGGATTTCTGAAAATTGTACTGTTTTAGATGGGGGGGGGGGAAAGCTGTTTTATGGAAACAAAAGTGACTTGAATAATAAGTAGTTAATTGTGTTCCTGTAGCTTCCTACTAGGCTGTAAATATTTCTAAACTGGAAAAATTACAGGAACCTTTTTCCTGACAGATGGAAATCCAGAGTTTGGATCATTACCCTCATGGAAAACTTATTTAATCGGATTAAGAAATTGAGATATACAGATTCATGATTTATTGTGGAGCATACAGTTTCTTTTATTAATTTTATATAACAACTAAATAACATTTTCATGTCCCTTCTCAATCCTATGCCACACTTGAGAATGATAAATACGATTCTTTTAGTTATCTTTTATTATGTCCCATCTCTTATCTCAGTGACCCTGAACCATGCATTTTCATCAACGTAACTTCTCCTGGTTTTGCTACAACTGTTTGCCGGTCTCTAGTTTTTTGCATTTTGCATGTAGCTTTTTTTAAATTATTGTTGTTGCACTTTGTGAATGTATATGTATTGGGCGGGGGGAAAGCAAAGGTTTCTTGTTGACTGGTTCTGATTTCTGGTCACTTCCAGTTTCAATTGGAGCCCCTGGACCATTCTCCAGGGGTTTCTAGAGGTGGAAAAATGCCTTCCTCTGAAGTTGTCCACCCTAGTATACAAGATGTACGATTTTGGAATTACTAGCAAGAACCTGTTCTTAAAAGACAACACCTCTTGTCTTGATAACCACACCATAGCTTTCAAAAACTTGAAGGAAGTAACAAGTTATTTGAAAGAAGTATTGTTTTGCCTCATGATGAGATTTATTCCTTTAATTAGGCTTATATACTGGTGTCAAAACCCAAACTATACACTAATCTTGTGTTAATCCTACCTAGAGTTGACACACTGAAATGCATGCAATTTGTTAGTTATAACTCACTCCCATTGACTTCAATAGGTCTAATCTAGGCAGAACTATTACTGGCCTTGGATTTCCTTCAATGTTCAGAAAATAGTTTATGCAAAGCTCCCTTCCAAACCAAATCAGATACTATCACATCCCAAAAGATGGTATGAGGAGAGTAAACAAGGCCCCTTTCTTGCTTTCAGCTGTGTGTTCCTAATCTTCCCCCTTCCTCCAGCAACCTGATCATAACCTGATCATGCCTGCCTCCCGTTAAGCCTTATGTTTCTTCCTCCCATCTGCTTTCTTGGCTTTTGTTGTAGGCAATGCAGCTTTTCTATCATAGAATTATAGAATAATTGAGTTGGAAGGGGCCTATAAGGCCATCAAGTCCAACCCAATGCTCAATGCAGGAATCCAAATCAAAGCAGATCTGACAAATGGATATTCAATTTTCAGTTGACTGCCGTGTGTATCTTCCATGTATCATTTGGTATGCTGCTCAGGTTACAACCCTATGGCCATTCTATATTTCTATGAACTTCCAGAGCAGTATCATGCCCACTTCATGTGTGAGGCAAGCTTTCAGGTCTTGTAGGCAGGAACTACAGTATATGTTTCAGATAACCCACAGTAAGTTCTTGCATTAAAGCAGGATGCAGAGCAGTCCCTGGGAAGCCCTGCAGGCTGGCCAGTGCTGGGGGGCTTATCGCCACTGGTGACAGTGCCAAGGTTGGAGCAAACTTGCCCACTTGCCAAACTGGAAAAAAACAAACAAACTACTGGACCTGCCCCCACCCCCTGCAAAAACAGCATGACCATGGAATAGACTGGGCAGTTCCATGGGCTTCATTTTTGCCATATGTTGAGTTCCGACCCTAGCACCATCAGTAGCTGGGATGCCTTCTAGCACTGATTGCTTAGGACAGAAGCCATGATGAAGCGTAAAAATTGAACCTATGCACACTTTTAAAAAATGGACCAAAGCTTGCATCATGTGAAATAACCAAAATCACTGTAAAGTGAAGTCGTGTGCCATGCTAAGAAAAATAGTATTTCTCTAATTTCCACATGTAAGGCTTACCTCATAATTGAGTATCTCATATTATCTTTTTCAAAAATTGTGATCTAGCCATGATGAAGCGTAAAAATTGAACCTATGCACACTTTTAA